GGATCTCAGAGGTGGACCGAGCGTTTTCGGCGCCGCTGGAATCTCACTACCCGAGCTAAGACCCGTGTCGGCCAGAAACTATCCTCCGGTGAGTGGGCTTTTTGAATTCGCTCTTGTTTATCCCCTTTGCCAACCGGTCGATAGTTAATGTTTTTTTATGGTTTCTGCCTCCCCGTCCCTTCCAGAGTGCGAGACTCAAGTGCGAAACTTTTGGAAGTTCGTGCGACACACCCGCCGACAGTACGGAATCGACAACCGCTGGATCATAAATGCTGATCAGACCCCGCTCTGGCTCGAAATGCCAGCTGAACGCACTGTCGAGGAGGTGGGGGTCCGCTCCGTGCCCATCCGCAGCGGCGGCTATCAAAAGGAACGCGTGACGGTGATGCTCGCGTGCACCGCCAGCGGCGAGAAGCTCAAGCCCTGGGTGTTCTTTAAGCGCAAGACAGTTCCAAAGGGGAATTTCCCCTCCGGTAAGCCGAGCAGCTTGTGCAGTCCCGGTAGCATTTGAATGTGTTTTTTTTTTTCTGATGTCAATCTCAACGTTGTGCGGATGTGCAGATGTCGTGGTCGCCGCACATCCCAACGGTTGGATGGACGCGGAAGGCGTCCTCGCGTGGCTCGACGGTACGGTGGGCCCGTACGTCAACCCGAGGTTCGGAGTGCGCAGCAGGAGAGCGATGTTGGTGCTTGACTCCTACCGCGGGCACCTGACTGATCAAGTGAAGGCGAAATTTGGCGAGCTGCGTATCGTGCCGGCCGTCATACCAGTTGGCTGCACATCGGAGGTGCAGCCCAGGCCCCACGTTATCAGGGCAAAACATCCTGATTACCCTGAATTCAGGATGTAGTTTTAAATTTACCCTGTCATTTCAGAATAGTGTAAATTTTAACCCTGAGGCCTCACGATGTTTTTATATGAAATACCCTGAACATTCAGAATGGCTGTAGTGTTCTTCCCTGTAGCGTCAGGATGAATGCCGAGGCCTGCCCTAACGCGTTTTTTGGTGGGGGGGAGGGGGGGGGGGGGGGGGGGGGGGGGGGTCCCGTGGCAAAATTGTCGGTAACCGTTGAATCAACCATCTAGACATCCAGAAATGGCCTAGGCAGTAGAAAGTTACTTCCTAGAGATGAGGTCTTCGGACCGAACCCTCCCCCGTGCAGGCATATCTGCAGCATCAACCTGGCTTGCCGACCAGCTATTATGAACCCTGAACGCTTATATTTTTGCCCTGACAGGCCAGGATATTTTTTTGTAGAAGCCCTGAAATTACAGGAAGCCTCCGAAAAGTTGCCCTGACAAATCAGGGCATTTTTTCAGATTCTGGAAAGTTGCCCTGAGGCCTCAGGATGTCCCAAAACCTAGCACAGGCCCTGGTGCAGCCGTTGGACGTCGCGGTGAACCGCTCCTTCAAAGCAGCTGTGCGACAACAATACCAGCAATGGTTCGAGAGCGAGGGTGTTGACTGCCTGACTGAAAGAGGTGAGATTGAAGATTTACCGGTAGGACTGTTTTTTAATTATTGACCCTGTTCTACCGTAACTGATGAATCTTTAACGTGTGGCAGGCAACATCCGCAAGCCACCACCTGAGCTGACGCTCAAGTGGATCTCCAAGGCCTGGAAGGCGGTGCCCAAGGAGTTGATTGAGCGCTCGTTTCTGACCTGCGGCATCAGTAACGCCTTGGACGGGTCTCAGGACGGTCTCTGCCTGCAGCACCGGCGGGATGCCGTCAAAGGCGAAGTGGATCTTGACGACGAGATTGCAGCAGATGGATTCTGCTGCAACAACGTAGACGAGCCAGAGTCGGACGGTGAGACCGCCGACGAAGGCACTGCCACTGCCGAGGAGGATGCATAGGTTGTGGGTAAAGTAGGGTAGAAATGTGTAGGACGTGATAATCTGATAGAAAATGTAGAAAATGCGAATATGTAGTCAGATATTAAGAGAAAACGTAGGATACAAATTGTAACAGCGTAAAACTTAAAAATGTAGAATTTAAATGGTGGCGCTTATAATGTGTAAGGTAGTAGGGGTGCGCTTATAATCCGTAAGGCTTGAAGCATGCGCTTATAATCAAGGAGCGGATATAAGCGCCCTCATCCTTTTATAAGCGCCGGCGCTTATCATAGGCATGCGCTTCTATCCGGGGGCTTACGGTACCATATCATAAGACCCGGGTATTTAGAAAGCTTGCTTTCTTGCATGTAGCAATTGGCATCGTCTCATTTCAAATGGGTTTAGTACAATTGAAATCCAAGCAGCGTCATTACAATAATATGTTGTCAAATGTTGTAGCCTGTAGTGAGGTTTGTCTTAGGGGGTACAGAAGTTAGGGTTTGTCATATGTACCCCAACCAACATCAATGGAAACACCATTCCTCATTCTGACATGGTATCAGCTAGGTTAGGATCCTGTGGGATCCCGTTCCTCCGTTCTCCGTTCGTACCTCCCGAGCCTGATCCTACCTCTCGTTCGTACCAGTTCCGTTGTTACCGAGCCTAGCGCCCTTTCCCCCGTCGCTTAGCGCCCTTTCTCCCCGTCGCCTAGCGCCCCCCCCCCCCCCCCCCCCGTCGCGTCGCGCCCTTTCCCCCCCCCCCCCCCGTCACGCCCTTTCCCCCCGTCGCGTCGCGCCCGTTCCCCCTGTCGCGTCGTGCCCGCCTGTTCCCCCCCCGTCCCGTCGCCCTGTCCCGTCGCGTCGCCCTACCCCGTCCCGTCGCCCTGTCCCGTCCCGTCGCCCTGTCCCGTCGCGTCGCCCTACCCCGTCGCGTCGCCCTGCCCCGTCCCGTCGCCCTGCCCCGTCGCGTCGCCCTGTCCCGACGCGTCGCCCTGCCCCGTCGCGTCGCTCCCGCCCTTTCCCCCGTCGCGTCGCCCTGCCCTACGCCCTGGCCCGTCGCCCTGCCCTAAGCCCTGGCCCGTCGCCCTACCCTAGGCCCTGGCCCGTCGCCCTCCCTAAGTCCTGGCCCGTCGCCCTACCCTAGGCCCTGGCCCGTCGCCCTACCCTAGGCCCTGGCCCGTCGACCTACCCTAGGCCCTGGCCCGTTGCCCTACCCTACGTACTGGCCCGTCGCTCCAGCCCGCTCTTCCGCTGCGACTGAGTCCTCTTCCCCCCCGGTTGTTACTCGCCTGTTCGTTCGCTTTAGTCCTCACTATGACGACTCCGCGAGTTCTTCGTTTCGACGCTGACGGTAGACCCCTTGACTTTTCCGTCTGGCTTCTTCGCGCTCGCCGTCTGTTAGAGAGTCAGGTCCAGGGGGGCGAGACCCTCTGGTCACACGCTACTGGTGACCTCCCTGAGCCCCCCGAGCCTACAGCTTTAGGCCCTGATCCTGACGACGCTGCTACGGCTCGCTTTGCCCGTCAGCGCGCTGACCGGACGGCTTGGACGTCGCGTGACGCTGCGGCCTGCATCGCACTCAGCAGCCTCCTCCCTGAGTCCGAGGAGGTCCACTTTACTCAGGTTCGCACCGCTGCTGCGTACCTCACTGCGATTAAGGCCCGCTACTCTACTCCCGCTACTGTCTCTCTTGGCCGTCTTTTCCTCCCGTTCCTGTTTCCTGATCTTGCCTCGTTTGAGCGCTCTGCTGACTTGATCGCTCACCTCCGCTCGCTCGACGCTAGTTACCGCGCTGCTTGCACTGAGGCACAGCTTACACTGCTTCCTCCCCCCATGGCGATCACTGTCTATTTCATCGCCACTAGCCTCCCTGACCGCCTTGCCTCCGTTCGTGACGCGCTTCTGCTGAAGCACCCTAGTGAGCTGACTATCGAGGTCCTTGAGCCTGCACTCAAGGACGTCGAGAGCAACCTTCGTTCGGTAGCTGCCGCCTCTTGTACTGTGTCCCCCCCACTCTTCCACGGTAGCAGCAGCAGCCCCTTTCCTCCCGCCAGCCTCAGCAGCAGCAGCGTCAGCAGCTGGCTCCGGGGTCGGGGCTGCGTCAGCCCCAGCGCGGTGCGGCTTACCCTCCCTGCCCCTACCAGGTTCAGACAGGTCCTCGTCGGGGCCACCCTTGTGGCCGCTTTCACCCCCCTGGTCAGTGCTTTGCTCAGCTCACTGACACGGTCCGGTTGACCTACGGGGTTGGCGGTCCTGCTCCTGACTGGCTTCCTCTGGTTCAGCGCTACGACTCCGCTCTGTGGGGCATGTCTGCTGAGCAGTTAGTTGATCTGATTAGTGCTCCTCATGCTATGTATCATGTTGTTGACTCTAGTGTTTCTGACTCTGTTTACTCTGGTGTTGTTAGCTTAGGTGCTAGTCTTGCTCAGTTGCCTGTTGCTAGTGTAGGTACTTGTGTAGACTCTAGACCAGCGACTACCTCAGGGGACGCTTCGCTGTCGTTCACACTGGACTCTGGAGCCTCCCACTGCTTCTTCCGGGACAGCACGACACTTACACCACTTCCTGCGCCTGTTTCTGTAGCGTTGGCTGATCCCACTACGGGACCAGTCACTGCCCGTCACACTACCACTTTACCGTGTCCTGCTGCTCCCTCCGGGTCTCTCACTGGGTTTCACGTCCCCTCGTTCTCCCGGAACTTGGTGGGCGTGCGACCCCTCGTGAGTCAGCACGTGGGTGTGTGGTTTGAGCCTTCTGGAGAGACTGCGGTGTGTGTTGACGGAGACTCTTACCAGCCTCTTGCTACCTTTACTGCTGAGCCGGGCTCGGGTCTCTACACTCTTCACACTGGCCCGCGTGCGCCGCAGCAGCAGCCGCAGCAGCAGCAGCAGCCGCAGCCGCAGCAGCAGCAGCAGCAGCAGCAGCAGCAGCAGCACCAGCGGCCGCACCAGCAGCCCCCCCTACTGCCACTGCCCCCGGTTCCCCCCCCCGTTCGGGTCCCCGTGTCTCACCAGGTTGCTTCGTCCCCCCAGGTGTCTGTGTCGTGTCAGGTTCCTACGTCTGTTCCAGTCGCTGCGTCGTGCTCCTGCCGGTCGCTTGCCCACCCGACCGTTCTGTGGCACCACCGGATGGGGCACCCGTCCCTTCCTCGTCTGCGCGCTATGTCTAGTCAGCGTCTTGTCCTAGGCCTCCCACGTGTCTTGCCGTCGCTGCCGCCTTCGCTTGCGCCGCTGTGTCGTCCCTGCGTCGAGGGTAGGCTGCGCGCCACCCCTCACTCCTCCTCCCTTCGTCCGGCCACCGAGCCTTTTGAGACGCTTCACTTGGACGTCTGGGGCCCCGCCCCTCGTCTAGGCCCTGAGCGTGAGCGTTACTTTCTGGTGGTCGTTGACGACTTCTCCCGCTACACCACAGTGTTCCCACTGGCGAAGAAGTCTGAGGTGACTTCTACGCTGATCAGGTGGTTGCTCACCACCGAGGACACTCGTGGTCGTCGTGTCAGCTGTCTCCACTCCGACCGTGGGGGTGAGTTTCGCTCCGGCATTCTCGCTGGATTCTGTCGCGAGCAGGGCATTCATCAGTCCTGGACGCTTCCAGAGTCCCCACAGCAGAATGGGGTTGCTGAGCGCCGCATAGGCCTGGTCATGGAGATCGCCCGCACCTCCTTGACTCACGCCTGTGCCCCCCATTTTCTGTGGCCCTACGCGGTCAGGTACGCCGCGCACCAGCTGAACCTCTGGCCACGTGTCTCTCGACCAGAGGTTTCACCGACCAGTCTTTGGACAGGGTCCCCTGGTGTTGCGTCGCGGTTTCGTGTCTGGGGGTGCTTGGCTCTTGTCCGCGACACCTCCGCGGACAAGCTCTCGCCTCGTGCCGTTCCCTTGTGTCTTCCTTGGTTTCCCTGAGGACTCCTCTGACTTCACCTTTTACCACCCTCCCTCTCACCGGTTCTTTGACTCCCGTGACGTCTGTTTCGAGGAGTCCACTCCGTACTACGTCAGGTACCCCAGTCGAGGTCTCCCGGTTCCTCCTCCCCCCCTCTTCCTGACTGCCGCTCCCCCTCGTGCTCCCCCGGTACAGCCTCCCCCCCCTGGCCCAGCCCCGTCAGGTGTGTCCCAGGCTACCCCTCCTCCTTCGGTAGCCCCTCCGGTACAGCCTCCCTCCCCACAGTCCTCCTCGCAGCGTGCCGTTGGTGCTAGCTCTCGAGAGGTTGGTGCTGCGCCTGTTCCTGTACCGGTTTCTGGTTCTGGGGGTGCTGGAGTTGGAGCTGGTGTTGGAGCTGGAGGTGGAGCTGGAGTAGGCACTGGAGTTTCTGGTTCTGGGGGTGCTGGAGTTGGAGCTGGAGTTTCTGGTTCTGGAGTTGGAGCTGACCCGGTGGGTGCAGAGGACTCTTGTCGTCCGGGAGCCGGTGCTGGCCGCGCGGACTCTGGGGGTGCTCCCTCTGGGGGTGAGGGTGCGCCTGCTTCGGGTTCTGGTGCGCCTGGGTCTGGAGCTGGTGTTAGTGCTGCCTCTGGGGGTGGTGCGCCTGGTTCTTCGGGGGTTGACTCTGGAGCTGCCGCTGCTTCGGACTCTACTCCGCCCCCCCACCCCTACCCGACTAGGCACCAGGCTCGTGTTCGCCGTGCCCGTGACGAGCAGCTGGAGTTGGAGAGAGAGGAGAGGGAGTTACAGCGGCTGGCGGAGCAGCAGCAGCAGCTGGACCCGCAGGAGCAGCAGTCCCAGCAGCAGCCGCGTCCGCAGCAGCAGCAGTCGCAGCAGCAGCAGCACCAGCCACTTCCTCCTCCTGTCTCGGGTCTTCGGGCCCTTGGTCTCCCCTCCCCTTCTCCTCCCTCCTCCGCCTCTCCTCCCTCCTCCGCCTCTCCTCCTGTCTACGGTCCCACGTTTCCTCCACCTGACTCCTCCCCCGCTGTTTTCTCTAGTTCTTCGCCTTTGTCCTCTCCTCCTCCGTCTCGTTCTTGGGCTACTCGTCGCTCCCCTCGTGCTCGTCCCTCATCTCCTGTTCCCTTCACTGACCTTCGTACTGCCTTACTTTGTTCCAGTCCACCTCGTCCGTCTCAGTCTGTGCTTCCGTCTCCTCCTGAGTCGGCCCTCACCGTGTCGCTCCCTGCTCCTATCACTGACTACTACCGCACGTACCATCCTGTTCTCTCTCGTGTTCTCGCCTCTCTTGTTACTCACCCTCGTGCCTCTGTGTCCTCTGTGTCTGCTCTTACTGCCGCGGTTACTGACTTTGCCGCTACTCGCCGCCTTGACTACGCCACCACACTTGTGGCTGCTCCTCCTACCAGTCCTCTGGCCGTCGGGGGTGTGTCTGCCCTTGGCTGTGACGCCCTAGAGGACAGGCAGTTTGAGCTAGAGTTCCTGGCGGCCGCTTCCCCTCATCTCTGTGCCATGCTCCTCGCCCCTGAGGGTGACCCCGACGCCCCTGACATTCCGACTCCTCGCACTTACGCTGAGGCAGTGTCAGGGCCTTGGGCCTCTCAGTGGAGAGCTGCCATGGACGCAGAGATGGCCTCCTACAGATCCACAGGCACCTACGTCGATGAGGTTCCCCCCCCTGGGGCGAACGTAGTCGACGGCATGTGGATCTACAGGGTGAAGCGGCCACCGGGATCTCCCCCGGTCTTCAAGGCGCGCTACGTGGCTAGAGGTTTCAGTCAGCGCGAGGGAGTTGACTTCTTTCAGACCTTCGCACCTACCCCGAAGATGACCACTCTTCGGGTGTTACTACACGTAGCAGCACAGAGAAACTACGAGTTACACTCTCTCGACTTCTCCACTGCTTTCCTTCAGGGCAGCCTACACGAGGAGGTCTGGTTGCGTCGTCCCTCGGCCTTCACTGGCACTTTCCCTCCTGGGACCCAGTGGAGGCTGAGGCGACCTGTTTACGGTCTTCGCCAGGCCCCTCGCGAGTGGCACGACACTCTGCGTTCTACCCTCTCTGACCTTGGGTTCCAGCCGTCTTCTGCCGACCCGTCGCTGTTCGTTCGTCGTGGCTCCACACCGTTCTTTGTTCTGGTCTACGTCGACGACCTCGTTTTCGCCACTCCGGACAGGGTTGCTTTGGCAGACGTGAAGTCCGAACTGCAGAAGAGACACACGTGCACTGATCTTGGTGAGCTGCGCCACTACCTTGGCCTGCAGATCACCAGGGACAGAGCCGCTCGCACCATTACACTCTCACAGTCACACATGGTGCAGCAGGTCCTTCAGCGGTTCGGGCTTCAGCACTCCACCGTACAGCGCACACCTCTCGCTGTTGACCACAGACTCACTGGTCCCTTTCCTGACGAGCCGTTTGAGCCTAGTGGTCCCTACGCAGAGCTTGTGGGTTGCCTCATGTACCTGATGACTTGTACTCGCCCGGACCTCGCCTTCCCTCTCAGCATCCTTGCGCGCTTTGTTGCGCCAGGGAGACACCGTCCTGTTCACTGGACGGCAGCTGTGAGGGTGGCGAAGTACCTAGCGACTACATCAGGCGTGGGGCTAGTTCTTGGAGGGCAGCAGTCTGTCGTACTCACTGGTCACTGTGACTCCTCTTACGCTGACGACGCTGCGACTCACAGGTCTACTCAGGGGTACTGTTTCAGTCTGGGTTCTGGAGCTGTTTCCTGGCGTTCCACGCGCTCCTCTTCTGTCTCGACCTCTACAGCTGAGGCTGAGATTTACGCTGGTGCCATGGCGGCACAGGAGTTGCGGTGGTTGACCTTCTTGCTCGCCGACCTTGGTGAGCGGCCGAGCTCTGCACCGACCTTGTTTACTGACAACAAGGCGTCGATCCTCCTCTGTCGTGAGCCGCGACTGGAGAGCAGAGTGAAGCACATTCACGTCAGGTACTTTCTTCTGCGAGAGTTGCAGAGACGTGGACAGGCTCGCTTCGAGTTCGTGGAGTCCGAGGCCAACACTGCAGACATCTTCACCAAGGCGCTTCCGCCTTGTGACCACCAGAGGTGTTGTGTGCAGTTAGGCCTTGTTGACACAGGTTCTAGTCATGTGTAGACTTGAGTTTATTGCCTGCTTCGTCTGTACACTTGCTATATATACTTGTGATCTCTTGGACTGGCCTTGTGGCCACTGTTGCTTGTGCTCAGAGTGTGTGGTGACGTTGTGATCCACCCTGAGCTTTGTTTTCTTTTGGACTGGTCTTGTGACCGTACTCTTTTTGATTTTGCTAGACACCCCTCACTTAGGCTATGGGGGTGTGTCAAATGTTGTAGCCTGTAGTGAGGTTTGTCTTAGGGGGTACAGAAGTTAGGGTTTGTCATATGTACCCCAACCAACATCAATGGAAACACCATTCCTCATTGTGACATATGCTTCTATGTTATCAACGCTATCCTGCTTTCGAGGGGGGGTGGGTGGGAAGATCGGCTAAACCGTCTGAAATGAGAGACGTGGGTGGAGGGAAATGACCTCCAGCCCACGTTTTGTACTCCAAAACGGGCGTTTAGCGCGGCTCGACGCTGCCAAATCCTACATTACAGGCAGCTTCGCTTTCAAAATACATAATTTTAAAAAGCGTTACAGCTTTTGAAAATATACATATTATATAGGATTTTCCTTTGAGGAGACCCCCCCCCCCATTTTTTTCCAGTGGTTTTCATAATACCCTAGGGTGTTTTATCCGGGAGAATACGGTATATTGCCAATGGAGATAATTCACGTGAAGACGAGTACAAGAAACCAATCGAGCTGAAACCCCCATTCTGTACCGTTCTACGGTACATGTATTTCACGAGATGGATCAACACAACAACATTGTTTGCATGCCAGGTTCAGCAGAAGCATTCTGCTGCACAAGAACAGAGCAAACCGCAGAAGAAAACAGAATAAACAACCAGGACCATTTAGGGTACAATGGATACAGAACGATAGAATGGCTCGGCCGGACACAAATTCTAATCCCTACGAGAACCTAGGCTAGGGGTATCCATCTGTGGTAATGCGGTAGTTGGTAAATGTTCCTCCAACCCAAGCTACACAAAGAAGATTGAGAGAAGGAATGGACACTAGCAGCACCTGTCGATAATGGACAGGTGGGCTGCGGAATGGACACTAGCAGCACCTGTCAATACTGGACAGGTGGGCTGCGGAATGGACACTAGCAGCACCTGTCAATACTGGACAGGTGGGCTGCGGAATGGACACTAGCAGCACCGATGCAAAGCGCTTTCCCGTTGAAGTTTTGAGTCGTCCCAAAACCAGCACCTTCGCCCATTCCCCTTAAGAGTAGAACCTTGCAAGAAAGAAAAAAAGGGTGTATCTGAAACATGGGACCGGGGACGAGGGGAAGTGGAACGAGCGGGGCACATCTGTTGTGAGGCGAAAGCAAACGTGAACAACAGAGAGGCATAAAAAAGGTCCCTCGAATCGTACTTCTGAAGATCTCAGTTGAACCAGCCATGCAGGTCTCTTTGAAAATTCTCAAAGGTGATTAAAGCAGGGTGGACATGCATTATGGATGCAGGGTGTGACGGAAACAGCAGGGAGGGGTGGGGAGGAGGGAAGGAGGGGGGGGAAGGTGGGGGAGAGGAAAGGGGAGGGGGAGGTGGAGGGTGGCGAGGGAAAGGAAGATGGGAGGAAGGGGATGTAACTCTGCTGGACCTCCATGTTTTGAGACGTCTCAGAATCGAGTTATGAGATTTCTTACAAGCGGAAGGGAGAGTACAAGTGAAATCGTGAGCACAGTCGTGTCTTGGAGAATTCTAAAAAACACCAGTAGTACAAGTGAGCTTGTGGACCCACTTCTGATTCTCAAACGTATAGGTGAGCTCGGGAACACAATCTTGCAAGTGCAGCTAGTAGCCATGACCGCATAAGCAGCTGTCTTAAGATCAGCCCAGCAGGAGAATCGCGAGCACACAGTGAATCTCAGCGTTCGCTATGCACAAGTCTTTGCCCGTGACCGATTTTTTCGAGTTCTGACAGTCAGTCTTGCCCAGGATTCTTGCTCCGTCTGGTGACGAAACGCAGTGGGAGTACCGGTGGAAGCACGACGAGCACACGGTGATCTCGGCGACTGCTTTCCGTCAATGTCTGTCTGGTGACGTGGCGCAGTTCGAGCACCAGTGGCAAGGACAGCGAGGGAGCAGTGAATCACTTTTACGAGATTCTCAAAGTGCCACGCACGACGAGACACGGTGACTCACCGCGATTGTTTTCCGTCAATGTCTGTCTGGTGACGTGGCGCAATGCGCGGCGTACCAGAGGGGTGGAAAGGAAGAGAAGAACTCACAGCGCCGACTATCTGCGATCTGGCTTCCCATCAGCCTTGCTGGTAACAACTGCTCTGTACGTGGTGCAATGCGCGTACCGGAAAGGTGGTAAGGACGAGCGGATTCCACGGCGCCGACTAGCTCCGATCGGCCTTCCCGTCAGTCTTGCCGGTAACCGGCTCCTTTGCCTCCCGCTCGATCTGCTTCGGCGTGTCGTTTAGCGACCTGCGAATTTCGATACAATCGAATCAACTGGACTCAGGGAAGCGACGAGCAGTCAGCGACGTAGCCTTACGAAAGACAAAACAAAACGCGGCGCGAGTGAGGAGGATCGATCGAGCAGCATCGGAGGTCAAGCGAGCAGCGCACGGGTGCGACGGCGAGCAGAGCCGAGCGAGCGAAGCGACTAACGAGCGAGCGAAGCGGTTAAAGAGCTAGCGTCGCACACGCGCGTCGCGACAAGAAACCTAAGCGGATGATCCACGCGACTCACTTCTTAACGGCCGCTTCTTCCTCCTCCAACCACACTCTCATCTGCCTGACGTTCCGTCTTAGCGTCGTCGCCGTCCTCTTAACGTCTCCTTTGAGCAACAGAACGGCGGCGCCGATTCCTACTACCGTAAGCACGAAGTTCGAAAACGCCATGGCGGCAAAAGCTCCGCCTGGCGGGAAAGGTATAGATATTTTCTACCAGTCCTCCCTGTACAGTATATTCACTCTCCTTGTGCAGGTCGTGTTTTGCTGGCTGGACTTTAATTGCTTTCTGCAGTCGGATCATTGTATATCGCGAATTTTGACGCACTCTCCCAAAAGCGCCTCAACCGAGAGTGTGAAAGTAAGGAACAGGAATGGTCAACTATGAAATGAAAACAGTACAAGTACCAACCCTAATTGGGTTGTACCCCTTATGTGCTACCCCACTACAGCCTACAACATGTATAAGCTATAGTAATCTGACACACCCCCATAGGCAAAGTGGGGGAGAACAAGGGGTCACAAGACCAGTCAAGCAAAGCAAAGCAAAGCTCAGGGTGGATCACAAAGTCACCACGCATTCCGAGCACAAGTTCAAAGGCCAGACGGCCAGTTCACATGCAAGATCATATATAGAGATATACAAGAGTCAAGTAAGCAAGAGCAAGAGTATATATAGGCGAAGGTACAAGCAAGGTCAAGAGGAGAGCAAGTGAGGCAAGACAGGCACAAGACCCAACTGCGTGCAACAACGCTGATGATCACAGGGAGCAAGTGCCTTGGTGAAGACATCAGCAGTCTTGGCCTCAGAGGCCACGTACGCAAGTCGCAACTGTCCACGCTGCTGTAGCTCACGAGCAAGAAAGTAGCGGAGAGCAATGTGCTTCGTTCTGTGCTCCAGTCGCTGCTCTCGACACAAGGCCAGCATGGCCTTGTTGTCTACGTACAGGACTGGAGGAGAACGAGGCTGCTCTCCAAGGTCGGTCAGCAGGTAGGTGAGCCAGCGTAACTCCTGCGCAGCCATAGCCCCAGCGTAGATCTCAGCCTCACAACTGGAGCCGAGAACAGAAGACGAGCGGGTAGCCCGCCACGAGACAGAGCCGGAACCAAGGCTGAAGGTGTAACCCTGTGACGACCGCTGCGTAGCCTGGTCGTCAGCCCAAGAAGCGTCTGCGTGCCCAGTGAGGACCACTGGACTGCGCCCTCCAAGCACTAGCCCCATGCCCGACGTACTACACAAGTAACGCAACACCCTCTTCGCTGCAGCCATGTGCTCTGGTCGGTGTCTCCCACGAGCAACAAAGCGTGCGAGAATGCTAAGAGGGTATGCGAGGTCAGGTCGTGTGCAGGTCATCAGGTACATGAGGCAGCCAACAAGCTCCGGGTACGGGCCACTCGACTCTACGGACTCATCCGAAGGCAGAGCTGAGAGCGAGTGGCGAGTAGGCAGAGGAGTGGCCTGAGGCGAGGAGTACGTGAAGCCGAAGCGCTGAAGGACCTGCTGCACCATGTGTGACTGAGTCAGGGTAATGGTGCGGCGTGCTCTGTCCCGGGTGATCTGCAAGCCAAGGTAGCTACGCAGTTCACCCAGGTCAGTGCACGTGTGTCTCTTCTGCAGCTCGGACTTCACGTAGGCGAGTCCAGCAGTGTCAGCTGTGGCAAAGACCAAGTCGTCGACGTACACGAGGATGTAGAACGGCGGCAGAGAGGTGTCGGTGCGCAGAAACAGCGACGGGTCGGCAGTAGAAGGAGCAAACCCAAGTGCCGCGAGCGTAGTCCTCAGTGTGTCGTGCCACTCACGTGGCGCCTGGCGGAGACCGTAGACTGGACGCCGGAGACTCCACTGGGTACCAGGAGGGAAAGACCCAGTGAAGCCAGGTGGGCGACGCAGCCAGATCTCCTCGTGCAGGCTGCCCTGCAAGAAAGCTGTGCTGAAGTCGAGAGAGTGCAGCTCGTAGTCACGGTGAGCAGCAACGTGCAGCAGAACCCGAAGAGTGGTCATCTTCGGGGTGGGGGAGAAGGTCTGAAAGTAGTCAACCCCCTGCCGCTGACTGAAGCCACGAGCCACGTAACGCGCCTTGAAGACAGGCGGAGAACCCGGCGGCCGCTTCACCCTGAAAATCCACATGCCACTGACGATGTTCGCCCCAGGAGGGGGAACAGCGTCAACGTAGGTGCCTGTGGACTTCCAGGAAGCCATCTCTGCATCCATAGTTGCCTGCCACTGAGAGGAATAGGGACCCTCTACCGCCTCCGCGTAAGAGCGCGGAGTCGGGATGTCTGGTGCATCCGGGTCTCCCTCAGGGGCTA